AAAGACAGAATTTTTTGTAGAACACATAAATATGAACGTGACAGTTCTCATGGAGCAGCAAGAGGGCACAAAAAAAAGAAGAGCCTATCCTGGACACTAATGCCCCATGTCTCCCACCATAGGGTTCTCTTAATTACATTAACCAAATGCGCTCTGCAGTGTATGCAATCTCATGGTTAACTGAACACCGGCGTAGCTGCAACCCCCCACCCCCGTCCCATGGTGAAATATTCATGTTGAAAGCCTCAGCCTCTCTTCCCACCGACTCTCCTCTACTAACACGTTCATGCCCTTAGTAGCTTAACCATGCCATCATTGTTTTTGGAGCCACTTCCCCAAAACCTGACACTATTGTTTAATCTTAGAGAAAAAGAAGTGTTTAAATCTAAATTTCTGATGGGATTGGAAGACGAGCTGAATTTAAAGTTTAATAACAGTTTAATAGATTGTAAATAAATATAGTGTGCATTTATGGTATAGTTTATATATATATGGTATATTTGTATACAATTTGGAGCTGCATATGTTTGTAATAGATATTTGTATTTCATACTGTTATCCCAAAACACTGATTCAAATTGACCAGGCGGGACTAATTTAAATACATGAACTATTCATTAATTGAATAAAGAGGCTAGTTAGCCCAAGGCCTCTTTATAATCATAAACTAGGGTGTACTACTTATGCAAAACAGCAAAGTGCCATGTGCTGGCTTATTATGCTAATAGTGAATGGCAAAATACATGTTTCTCCTGCCCAGAAAAGAGGATTAGGCATGGCAGCGTCAGCAAGTTGTTCCAAGTGTATAGAGTGTGTTCTTCCATATTGCAGCATCTTGAGATTCAGCTGCTTAATGTGACTCTTCTTGTCTTTATCACAAAGCTTCGATGTGATCACAGCCCCCCTCCACAACTAATTCTTATTCTTAAACACAAAAATGGATCATGTTTTTTCTCTTTCATTGCCTGTTATTTCAAAAAGTATTAGGTTTCATTTCCATTTTGTGTTATTCTACTTGTTTTGTTTTATATTTTTGGAGTTCTTATGTATTTCTTGTTTACCCTCTGTTGCCATCTTGTGTCAGTCTCCTTCCCCTAGCTCCCTTCTAGATGCTTCCATTCACATCTGTTCCTTGTCAGCTCATTAGCCCAGTCTTTGTTCTGTCTCCCATTTATACTCTCCCTGTGCAGTTCCTCGGTGTTGGTTCCTCGTTGTTTCTTGATCCTCATGTGGGTTTTTATGGAAGCAAATCATTATCATATTTCAAATGAAAAAGCATTTTCAGAAATGCCTTTTCATTTTAAGAATGTTGCTGCATTGTTTGACTCATAAATGAAATTAGTAATCAATAATCCTGTTTGCATTTTCATTTTCTTCTTTAACACTGCTCATCCTTTTA